ACCTCTCCCTCGACCCTGTGGTAAAAACAACAATCGCTGCTGATGTGAGTGTCGCGTGACATCAGAAAGGGAGGGAAGACTATGAGAAGAGAGGGAAGTGTTTTTATTTCAGCAGGGGTCTGTTTAAAATACGCATTTAATCCAACACACATCCTTAAACTTATGTATTTACAATAATCGTGAATCCTGCCCAGTGTGAGCACCGTTTAACTTAACATGACCCAGGAAAATGACAGATAGAGAGAGTAGGGGAAACACATTATTTGGGAAACTTGCTTAAAAACACTTTATTTTTAATTATATTTCATTATATTTCCATTTGGTGCTTCAGAAATTACACATTACAGCTTTAAAGGTGCACTCAGTTTTTTTGATGGTCAATATGGCACTGTAATCTTGTATCTAACTACTGACATCACATGACATGGATTCAGCATCCCGCAAAAGTAGAAAATAGTTTTCAGATGGTGATGTAATTTTAAAAGCTACAGTATTAGCAACCAGCCATAATGAATTAAATCTGTGAGCAAAGGTGTCCAACAACAAGGGGTTACTAAGTTAAAGTGAGTAGTGATGTTTACATGGTGACCTGCTCCTGGAAATGACTGCCCATTAGTGGCATAACAACACTACTGAATCTACAGCATGAAATATATAGTATGACCTCTGAAGAACAATTCTAGAATAAATGTAATATTTTGACCTAAAAATTTTTAGCGAATCAAAACCACATAGCACAACCACTGTTGTCTGATTCCAGATCAAATGACTCTTATGACCAATGGATAAGCTAATGACATAAAATAAGCCAGTTGAATAAATGAAGGAATTAATGAAAGATTCAAATTTTTTGCTGTGTATTTGGTATTTGTGATTACCAAATATGATATTCTGATTTATCTGATATTTTGTATTTAATATATAGTAAGGGCTAGTTACTGGATTGCAATTATGGTACCTCTAAACATATGTGAAAAGTAATTAAAAAGCTTTTCAAATTAATGAATTATATTTATTTATAATATTTATATCTGGTCCATTCTGATATCATAATTAAAAGCTGGCAAAAGACAGCTGAGGACAATGCATGCAATACAAATATATATTTGCTTCCGATTCCGAATCAATAATGGAACCAATAAGAAAGCAGAATTGTTAGGAAACTGAAACATTAGGGACATATTTCTGGGGTAATTTTAGGTTGAAGCGTACGACTAGATCAGTTATCTGAAAAGTTATTCAAGGAAACTCTTAAAGGGATACTTCATCTCTGGTGAAGTCATCAAAATGAACAATTGAACAAGTCAATTCGTTTATTTCGTTCGTTGAATGAACCAAATGACACACAAAAAAAGATTCGGTCATTTTAATAAACGAGTTCGAACAGGAGAGTTACGAACGTGCATCACAGAAAAGAGCAAGGCGACCATAAAATTCATAAAAATAAAACTTTGTTATTTATTTTTTTTAAATGAGTGATCGTTTCTCTTGATAAGACCCTTATTCATCATCGGGAATCATTTAAAGCCCTTTGAACAGTTTGCAGTTTGCAAACCAGTAAAGTTACCAGTAAAGTGCATTATATGGAGAAAAATCCTTTAAGTTAACTACTTTAAGTTAACTACTTTAAGTTGCAAACATTATTTTGTTGAGTTCTGTCGAAGTACTAATGTTGATCATTAGATTAACTTAATATTGTGTGTAATGTAAACTCAAATCTCTGCGTTGATTTAAAACAACAAAAAAAGTTGTAGTAAATTAATAAAATTGTCTTGATAACTTGAAATTGGGCAGTGGATTCCTAGTTCCCAGCATGCTTTGCATAGGAGTAGATATGGAGAATAAATGTTGAAATTAAGCGTTATTTCACCGTTTTTTATGAAAGGAAAGACCTGTTAGTGTTTAATGCTGTTATGTTTAACATTTAAATGAGTTTCTACTACAGTATATTGAAGTTGTGTGGTTACCATTGTGCTGAAGAGCATGAATGTAAACTACATTGACCATAAGCAATGACTGCACTAATGCCAGGGACAAATAAACTTGATCATTAAACTTACATGCAAAATGAGTTAATTAGCATGTTCTAGCAGTGGATTTTCACTGAATGAAATTAAGAAATTATTAAATTCCTCTAATAGTTTGTTGGTCGAAAGTAATTTCATTCAAAGTTGTTATAACTAAAAATAAATTGCCGCAAACAGTTGTGTTATTTCTTTTGTTTGTTTGAGCAAACAGATTATTTAGCATTTTGTTGAGGAAATTATTTAGCTGTTTTGAGGATCCATGGGCGCTCACAAAAACAGTATGTACCAATGGTGACTGCAGTTATTTCTGCAAGCATGCATTTAGCGTGACTGGTGCAGATTGCAGTTTAATTAGCTGTTAATCATCTATACAACATAAATGACCAAGTGTGTGCACCATGCTGTTTTCTGGCCATTAGTGACAGATGAGCTAAAGAGTGTAGCAGGCCATTAGCTCTCTTCTGCATGTGTCTGTCTCTGACTGAGTATGCGCCCTCATTACAAATGTAGCCCATTGTAGCAGAGTAGAACAGCTGACATCCCCTAATGCCAGCTATAAGTCATCAGCGGTGCTCATGCCCACTTTACACACGCACACATACACATACGAGAGAGAGAGAGAGAGAGAGAGAGAGAGAGAGAGAGAGAGAGAGAGAGAGAGAGAGAGAGAGAGAGAGAGAGAGAGAGAGAGAGAGAGAGAGAGAGAGAGAGATTGAGATGATCATGTTAATGAGAGGTTTCTGGGATGTAAATAACTGCTGACAGAGAGTGGTAAGAGATCAGAGCATTTTGTTGGATTGTGAAAAGATCAACTAAAAAATCTAGTTACTGGAAAAGAGGATAAAACCTATGCCATGCGCTTAGTTGGCAGGCAGAGTCTGTGATATAAGGCCAATCAATGCAGTACGGGTGTTGCTCACAACAGTACATATATTTTCCTATAGCACATTCACACATCAAATAGCATCTGATAGTGATCAAACAGCTAAAGTTTGTGCAACCCTACACACAGAGTGTGCATGTCTGTGTGCAAGTCAGAACAGTAACATTGTCTATGCTTAACTTACATTGTGAGGACCAAATGTCCCCACACAAATAGTAAAATCTGACATCACTTGACCAAGCCAGCGGTCTCCATGAGGGAAATGGATTAACAAACATATTAAATGATGCTTATTTGAAAATGCAAAAATGCAAAAAAGGTTTCTGTGATTGGGTATGTTTAGGGGTGAGGTTAGTATGAAGGGATGAAATGTACAGTGTAAAAATAATCATGTCTACAGGAACCTAAAGTGTGTGTGTGTGTGTGTGTGTGTATGTGTGTGACAGAAAGAACTGAATGAAAGCGTCAGACTTAATATCAGTGTTGTAATTATCACCATGAAACAAGTCACATGACTTTCAATGGATAGACAAAAAAAAAAATAAGATAATTTTGAAAATATCTTAATTCGTGGGTTTAGATCAACATTCTGATCTCAGTATTGTCATTTTCCTGTAAACTAACCCTTTAAGTGTATCTGTAACACTAATAATGAACTTTGCTTGTCAAGTTCATGTAATGTTATAATGGTCAGTGTACAGCACTGTGAGTTAAAGGGTTCACCCAAAAATGAAAGTGCAAAACCTTCTATGTGTTTATTTGTTCTGCTGAACACAAAAGAAGATATTTGGAAGAATGTTTTAATCAAACAGATCTCATTCCCCATTGACTACCATAGTATCCCTACTATGGTAGTCAATGGGGATTGAGATCTATTTGATAGAATAGTCAGAATAGTTAAAGTAGGGTGGGATCAGTGCTGGCTAGCTGTGGTAGTACAGTAGCTGACCATTCAGGATAGATAATCCAGATGCTATTTAGTTTTTTTAACTAACCTTTTTATTTGAATATACTGTCAAATATAATGCATTCATATGATGGCAAAGCTGAATATCCAGCATCATTTCTCCAATCTTCTTCAGAGTCTTGGTCATGAACATATTATGATGTTAAAAACAGCTGTGCCTCAACATTTCTGAGGAAAGCGTGATTTCCAGGATTATATGATGAATAGAAAACTGTCAATAACGTCCCTGCTGATATTTATTTCCCTGAAATTTAAATGAGGATAATAATAATAATATTGAGAATATTGGCATCGAAAGGTCTTCTTCAGAGTCACACCCATATTTAAATGTAGCTGTCACTCCTAAAACTTTTCACTGTGTACATGGCCTGATTTGCTAACATAGTGAAAGCAAAAGCAACACAATAACAAGACAGTAAAATAAACCAGAGCAGATACTGCTGAGGATGACAGCTTGTCCTGAAGATATACTGTAAGAGCTTTGACAATAAAGGATCTCATGTCACCATTAATCTGCACTTGTTACAGGTTACAAGCTGCCCATGCAGTTAGTTTAGATTGTGTCAGAACACTTGACACACTGACTGCACAGTAGCAATGGCATACTATTTAAGTCTGTGATTTAAAGCAAATTAATGCATCATTGGTGCTGCTCAAAACAGTGCAATCAGTACGCCTGTGACTACTAATGTCCTATAGCACATACACACATCAAAGAGCAACCAGCACTTCACCTGATAATGATCAAACAACTAAAGTCTGTGCAACTCGACACAAGGACTTAGTGAAAGTGTGTGAACATCTATGTGCATGACAGAACAGTGACATTAGATGAGGGGTTTGTGGTTGTGTTTGTGTGTGCGTGTGTGTGTGTGTTTGTGTGTGAGAGAGAGACACACACAGAAAGAGATGATTAATGGGAGAGCCAGATTGATATCAGAGTTGTAATTATCAGCATAAAACAGGTCACAGCGTTAGCGTGCACACACACACACGCACACACACACTCCGGCCATGGCAACTTGCAATCATCACTTTAACCCCAATTTAATAAGGGAGATAAAGAAAGATGGAGAGAGACAGAGAGCAAGAAAAGAGATGGAGACACAAAGAGTGAACGTACGAGTCGGTTGATGCGTACGAAATCCTCCGGACTCTTGGCCCAAGGCGGCAGCTCCACATCTGACACCACCGTCCCATCATCCATCACTCCCAGATTGTAATTATTGGAGTTGACAAACATCTCTGGGAGGTAATAGAACTCAGGGATCAATTCCTATGAGAGAGAGAGAGAAAAAAAAGAAGAAAAAAAGTATTTTTAACGACTCATTTTACATTATTAAATTACGAAATAATTAGATTGGGGCTGGCAATTGATTTAAATTTTTCTCTAAATTTATATCTTAATTATTCTAAAAAGTTTTGGTACAGTAGATTAAATTTAGCTACTTTTTAAATAAAGAATAACAAAAAATAAAAATAAAATGTGTAAATATGTATACAAATATAACTAAAATTTAAGTTAAAGTAAGTTAAAGTTATACACAATATATATATATATATATATATATATATATATAAAACAAGTTAAGTTTAAGTATATATATACTGTATATATATATATATATATATACTGTATATGTATCTGTCTTTATGTCTCTGTGGTTAAATTAGAAAAAAAAAGTGTCAGAGGATGGCCCAAATTCAGAATAGTCTCTGTCTGTCAATCATTTAGCATGTTTGGGTTTTCTGAAATCATATGTATAAAGTATTTAATAATTAACGCAATGATTTTGACATCCCTAAATTAGCTATATTTCTACTGATTCAATACTTCAAAAATGTATTCATTATATTTCATTTAATAATTCATTCCAAACAAAAAAGTAAGAAAGAACAGGAAAGAAATGTTGTTTACTGCCTAATACAGATGTATCCAATTTCAAGTATTTCAAAACAAACTAGATAGCTATACAATATAACAGCTCATTAAACGGGAATCAGGACAGCGGGAATCAGTTATTCTTTCTTTGAATCTTTAGCCTTTAATCTGTGCCACGCTGCCACTCTAAATGAATGATCCGGTTGGAACTACTCCAGTTTTATATTTTAAAATCTTCACAGAAAGGGCAACAGCATGTCATCCTAATAAAGAACATCAAAATAGCAGTGCAGAGGTACACTGCAGTCAAAGCATGGTAAATGTCACTAAACCTCTTTCTTCCTTTATGACACGATTGGGCGTCATATTGTTTTAAAAAGTGGTGATGAAAGTTAGTGAAACCATGAAATCGCAAGGTTTTCTATACTTTACATAGAAGTATATATACAGTATGTGGCTTGTCGAAATGGGTTCTGGTCAAGCTCATGCACTTACACTTTATTATATTATGATTATTTACACAATGGAAAAAAGAATTCATAATAAGACAGAAATAGAGTTAAAGTTATGAGGTAAAAATATCGGCCATCAAATTAGAATGGTTAACTTGGTACTTGGTATCACCCTGAATTTCTATTTCATTCCACTCTTCTATTCGTCTGTCTCTCTGAATTTTATTATACCTTATACACATTCATATACGCACTCACATATACACACTCGAGCTGGAAGTGTTAAGTTAGTAGTAGGAAGATAAACAAGCTCTTACTCTGCAGAAACAAGAGTCCCCTGGGAGAACCATCTAACTGACAGTCTATCAGACTCTCTGTATCACAGACTGGTATCTGAACCTACTGAATCTACTGTTCTCTATGATGGGTCCATGCAAAGGTTAGTATAACCACATATTTAAAGTTTAAATTTAGAAAAATAACATTTTAGGCCTAAATTTAAACATTCTTACAAGAACAAATTAAAATATAGCTGCAAGCAGCCATTATCAGGCCCAAATGCAAATAAGACAACAAACCAACATGACAACGCCAACATGTCTGGGAGTGTCAAAACAACTGCAACAATGAGAAATTAAAGACATTGTAAGATTATTTTAGGCAAAAATAATATATATATATATATATACAGTCACTAATAATATGATTTAATGATTTGTCACTTTCGACCAATAGGTGGTGCAGAGTTAGGTGACTACAAAGTTACATAGAAATACAAAGTTGAGTGTAAATGTGTCAATGCATTGCAGAGATACAGCCTGAATAGTCATTTTGGCATCATGCCTCAACTTTGCTGCTGCAGTACACGAAAACGGTTTCGTCTATCGACACAAAATCCATAACATTTTGTCGACGCTGTCTGGAGATGATTTGATTCGATTTTGGTGAAAATCGGACAAACGATCAAGGACAAGTTTGAAAAAGTAGGTTTTAAAAGTAAATAAAGATGACGGACAAAAGTAACAGCGAAGACTTCAAATGTAAACACAGCTTTTGTGTCTTTATCAGCTTTTCCATACACTGGCCCTGATAATCATCACACATTTCTGTAAATCCATTTTTATGAATGAATGAGTCTCTCACCCGTTGCTCTATATTTTTCTTCGTCAACAGCCCCTTGCAGCTCCTGCTGGTGAGGCTGACTAACAGCTATGGAGATTATCAATCGGCAATCGACTGATATTTCTGCCATTCTCGGATGTCAAATGTTGTCGAATTCGAACCACTGAATTTGTTATGGCGAAATAAAATGGACCGAAAATTGGCTGTCGAACATTATAGGTTGTATTTTTAAACAGAATGAACATTTTGGAAGTGAAATCTGAAAGGTGAATATGGATTATTGAACTATTCACAGCTTAAAGTCCCTGTGAACCGGAAGTTGCAAACGATTTTTCTCCAGTGCTGTGACGTATTTCCAAGTGAAACGGAATATTGAACAGAGGGCAGGGTTTTACTCTAGTGCTCCTCCTCTCCATCTCTCGCTCATAGCAAACTAACGGTTTGAGGGGAGTGGTTAAGCGTTTCCCCACCCAAACTGTGAAACCTACGTCATCAGAAAAAGAAACCGTTCCAGACCGGAAGTAACTTTTCAGATTTTGATTAAAGATTACGAAGGTAAAACATTTTTTTAATATATATTCACTTGCACGGATTAATTGTTCACCACAAGACTAGTAATATGCGCTAACAAAGTAAATAGGTTCAATTTTGATTTCACAGGGACTTTAAATACGCAACCATGTTGAATCCCATAAAAATGCAAGGTCTAAAACTACAATGCCTTAAAATGCAAGGAGGGTGAATGCAATCGCAATGCATATTTTTTTCATGTAGTGCTTTTTTGTTTCAAAAACATTTGTTATTATTTTACTTCCATAACTATACATAATACCGACAGAGACCCTCAATTTGAATGCTATGTATCTACAACACAGCTCCTCGGTGCATTCCTAGTGGCCAATTAGCTGAGCAAACAAATGGTGGAAGTTCAAAACTAGCCTCCTGCCTTGCTTCTTTTTGGTCCTCTCTTTTTAAAAACCGAAGTCTTTAAAACAAAAAGGTCACAATTTTACAATGGCACCAGGCGCTCTAAGGTTCATGTATGGAGTCTGGCGTAAATTTGGCGTCTTTACTGGCGGCACAAAGACCCAAAGCCACTTAACCAGTGGTGGGGGAGAGAGAGAGTGATCAGGGGTACGGGAGGTGCTATTATGTGCAATGGCCCTTGAGCAGAACTGGTCAGAGGGCAAAACCTGTGATCCAAAATCCTGTCCTGCTGTGGGTCAATAGAGATGGGTGCCCCTAGGCCCCCTCTTAGGTCCTCTCTGATTCCCCCGAGGAGAAACTTTCAGTGTCCGCATTGCTTTCAGCCTAGTGCACGGGGGTCAAGGGATGGAGGTTATAGGTCAGGCCAGAGTTTGCCTGGCTAGAGACAGACAGGATCGTGGCTTTACACCATTATAGCTTTCTTCAACCTGGACACAAAAACTGCTAAAGGCTTTTCACCCCTTAGTAGAATGAGGGGGTGTTTCTAAATGTGGGGGACTGCTGTGCTTTTTTTAAGAAAAATGGATAACAGCATGGCAAATTGATACATTATTCAATTAAAAGGCCCTTTGCTTCACATTTGCACTTATCAGACCTTTTTTTGCAAGATTGAGCAAAGTAAAGCATGTTTGAAATGTTCCACAGCTTCAAAGTCAAATAAACTAGTGGTGATTTCGAGGTTCTTAGTCAAGTCCTTAGCTCAGTTTTTATGACTGCCAATCCTGTTACGCTGATCTACAGCGACAACCTTACGTAGAAACCAAACTGGGTTTTGAGTAAGCTTTCGATATCAAGTGTGACCATGTAATGTGAGCCACATGTCTTTTTATCAAATGGGTGCAATCAGCCGCCGGAAAAAAAAAGGCCAGCATGCAACGAGCGTGCCAACAAAATGGCTGTCTGTTGTACCGGTAATGAATATTTCAAGAGGTCTGGACATTTGCTGAAGTCAATGCAGAGCACTTTGAGGTCCTCTGAGGGGCTACAGAGCACAGTTGGGATTGCTGTCTGACTTTGGTTTGGGGCCGAACGACAAAAGGTTCAGCTGAGGGTTAAAGTGTTATGAAGGGTTTCGCAAGGGAGAGTGTAAGGGAGGAAAGGGGGGAAGTTCGAATTCAAGATTAGTTTAAAGCTTTGATCAAGGACCCTTGACGCTTTCATGGTAGCATGACAAGGATTGCTTGTGACCGTACATGTGCTAGGGCCAGTTTTTATGGAGAGGTGATGGGGGCAGCCGGGCAGAGAGCCGCGGTGTCTCCATGACGACTGCCCTCACACCAAGTCCCAGCAAGCTCCGGTTACCAAGAGGAAGTCAACTCACTAGAGAAACGTCTAATCATGTAATAGTCTCCACATTTGTGAAAAACAAAATATCAGTGGAAGACGAAAACCAAATCCAGGCCAGGGATCGGCTGAGAAGAAATAAGCACAGCTCTGTGCATGTGTATAAATATGGATGAGTTAAAGGGTTAGTTCACCCAAAAATGAAAATTAAGTCATTAATTACTCACCCCCATGCTGTACCAACCCCGTAAGACCTTCGTTCGTCTTCGGAACACAAATAAAGATATTTTTGATTAAATTTGAGAGCTGTATAACTACCACATAGACCTAAGGGACTGGCTCTTGAAGGCCCAGAAAGTCAATGAAGAAAATGTTTAAATATTCCATGTGACTACAGTGGCTCAACTATAAGTTTATCAAGCGACGAGAATACTTTTTGTATGAAAAACAAACAAAAATAACATGCATGCGCGAGAATTGCGATCTCCTTCAACGACTTCAGTTCAGTTCTCGCGCATGCGCGGTGGAAATCGTTTTGAAGTCTCGTTTCAGGCCAACAAGGAAGAAAAGGAATAGTCGAATAAAGTTTTGTTTGTTTTTTCGCACACAAAGTAATTCTCGTCGCTTGATAAACTTATCGTTGAGCCACTGTAGTCACATGGAATATTTAAACATTTTCTTCATTGACTTTCTGGGCCGTCAAGAGCCAGTCCCTTAGGCAGTCTATGTGGTAGTGATTTACCTCTCAAATTTAATCAAAAATATCTTTATTTGTGTACCGAAGACGAAACGAAGGTCTTACGGGGTTGGTACAGCATGGGGGTGTCGGTGAGTAATTAATGACTTAATTTTCATTTTTGGGTGAACTAACCCTGTAACAATAAAATTACATTTAAAGTAAAAATATGAAGCATTTCTATGGTAATATGACAATTCATCCATCGACATGCACATACAAGGACGTACCTTCACGTCAGATGTGTCCCTCTGGCAGTTTCTCCAGGCTCTGGACACTGAGGAGAACGTGCGATCTGCATGGTCAAATTTCCCACCTTGGAAATTCAGGAAGAATGTTGTGAAAGGCTCCTGAGAATAAGAGAGAAGAAAAAAAAAATCTTAAATTCCACACACATGAATACTAAAAAAACTCATGTTAGGACCTAAAACAACTAGAGGGCAAATTCCACTGAACAAAGATCATGTATTTAATAACTACGAGTCTACTTTGATCAATATTTAGTCTCCAATTTGAACATTTTTCACTGTGCAAACCCAGTCAGTATATGCCATTTAGCATAGATTCCTGCTGTTCATAACAAAGCCCTATACAATATGATCCTAATTTGTGTGCACTAAATGACATCCTCCTCTCCAAAAAAAAAGGACCTGAATGCTAAAGAAACATGTTATTAACCCCGGGCAGACAGTAAAGAGCATTACAAGAGCATTATTTGTTCTTTTCTAATCATGCTTAATCTTGTTTGTGCAGAATCAATAGGTGGTTCTTTTGAAACAAAACCTCCCCGATGAGAAGGACGCAATTAGAGTGAATAGCACCCCGGTTGGCTACACCATGAAAGAAAAATATCCTAATTACGCAGACGCTTTTGGGTGCTTGACTGAATTTAACGCCCTCCTTTTCTCTGTCAAGAGCCTCGATATCACGAGCTTGCTGATTTGTGCTATGGTACATGAATTAGGGTGTTTGGTGAAGTGGATTTGGGATAAGCCTGATAATAATGAGATGGGATCAATACAATGGGCCAACAGGGAATGGCAATGAAAGTGAAAAACTGTAACAATTACAGAGATGGCCAGAAATGGGTTAGTGACCTCTAGCCCTCTCGCTTTGTGTGCAGAATGTATAAGGAATATGTGAATAGACTATACATTAAAAATAAAACACAGGCATCATTTAAATGAAGAGTAACAGACTCTGTACAAAAGGCTTTAGAAGATTATGAGACTTCATTACTGTAAAACTAATATAGAACTGCTTTTATTGTACGAAACTATGCTTGCTCAAAATATTGTAATAAACCGTGAAGTATTTTTTTTTCTACAGAGTGTAATGTCTTTGTTCTTTGCAGATATTAGAACAAAAAGGGATGAAGGGAAGATGAGCGATGTGTTCTGAGTTTGTTAGTATGCAGATAAGGCCTACATTTCAATATAACAATAAATCAACCTGACTGAGCACACACACATGCCCAATTATAAACAACAATTAGTTGCAATGTGTTTCACAACCGATCACATGATGAATGTTTAGTATTTTACAGCAGCATGAAGAGCACAGAGTCGCTGTCTGTTTTAAAACCCTTTAAACGTGGCAAATCATTTGGACCATTATGTTCATGTCCTATTTATTCGTCCTACACAGATTATGAAAAAAAAAATAAACGTTAAATAATGCACTGACAGGCTTTTCTTTCTGATGCTATAAAAAAAGATTTAAAAACTGGTACTGGAGCGTTTTGTTTTGTGCGGTTTGGTGTTATTTGGAAAAAAAAACTGTTGTGCTTGATATCTGCATGTGACTGTGTGACACTAAAAATGCTGTGATGGTAGGTTTACGAATAGGGTTAGTGTAAGGGGATAGAATATATAGTTTGTACAGTATAAAAGACATTATGTCTATGGAAAGCCCATAAGTGTGTGTGTGTTCACAACTTACAGTCCTGAGTAGCCACATCTGAGTAAAGCTGGAGGTGGAATAGTGTGTGCCGTAGTGGAATTTGGGCACCTGATCGTCCTCCCATGATTCAAAGCGTTCTGAGAAGAATGCAGCTCTCTTTGGGTTGAGTGCACCAATGGGCTGTAATGAGAAAAGACAACATTCAAGAAACAGCAGTATACTGTAAGTTGTAAGTACCACAGACAATGAGAAAATTGATGTTGGGTTGGTGGTAAAATAATAATTAAATAATGACAATCATTTATGTAAATTCATTTACTGCAGCTGTTAAGTTTAATCAATAATAAAGTACTAAATAATAGGTTATTTTAAAGATCAATATCTGTGAAGCTGTGAATAATTACCTATAGAAAGCTTTACACACTGCCTATATTTACTATATTACTAAAAGTAAATGATGCATAATTATTTATTGTATTGTATTTATTTATTTCTTCGGTCGGTCATTTTGAACAATTAAATCTTAGATTATATGTAATGCAAAAAAAAAAAATCCTGACATAATAAAATGCAAAAAAACAAACACATAAAAAACAATGAAACAAAAGATGATTGAAATACATCCGAAAAATAAAAACATTAGGATTTTTTTTTTTACAAGCAACTAATCCAAACTAAACCCTAATCCTAACTCTACAGTAAGTACATTATGCTAATAAATATTACTCAGTTATACTTAGCTCTATAATTGCACTGTAACAGAAACCTCAAATAAAGTGTGACTAAAATAATTGTGCCCATTTACACTTCCATTGAGGGCAAAGCAAAATTGCGTCAGTGTCACACGATCCTTTGGAAATCACTCTAATATGCTGATCTGGCTCTCGGGAAACATTTTTTATTATGTTTAATGTTGAGTATGGATGTACTGCTTAAAATTTTGTGTAAACAGTGATAGTGAAGCAAATATCTATTCTTTGAGAAATCTGCATAATTTTATGCATCCTTGCTAAAGTAAGTGCACACTGTAAAAAAATATTGATGGTTTAACTTAAAAAAGCAAATAACCTGGTTGCCTTAAAATTTTAAGTTCATTGAACTGGAAAAAGTGAGTTAATACAATGAAGGAGATTAATTTAACCATCAGAAACTCAAAATAATAAGTTCTCAACTAAATAAATTATTTAAGTTGATTTGACAAAAGAAAAAAAATGTTGTAATTACTACACTATAAAAATATTGTTGGTTTAACTTAAAAAAGTAAGTAACCTGGGTTGCCTTACAATTTTAAGTTGATTGAACTGGAAAAAGTGAGTTAATACAATGAAGTAGATTAATTTAACCATCAGAAACTCAAAATAATAAGTTATCTCCACTAAATAAATTATTATAAAGTTGATTTGACAAAAGAAAATATGTTGTGATAACAAATCTTGAAAATGTTTTTTTACAGTGTACATTTGTACATTATTTGTACAAATAATAAAAGTTATTTTCAGAGTAAGGTAAGGGAGTTCATGAGGAAGTTCATATGGCATTCCTATATGACTAATACTAATATAATCCTGTCCTGCATTGGGTTGTATCAAAAGTATTGATTAGCTGCTTTAATTTATTATTGATCTGAAGAAACCCAGCATATGGAAGCAGGCCATTATTTAAATGCTCATTTATATGTTTTGTTATTACCCTGCTGAGTCTTTATTACTCTTGAAAATGACTGACCGTCTCTCATTCCTTAGTTTGATCAATAGTAACAGAATGATGAAGCTTCCTGAAATGAGAGTAGGCAGGACAGATTGACCATCTCAATCTCCTTCTCATATCATAGCTGTATAATGAGGGCCCTCAGCTGTTTTTCTATTGATCACAAAGGACAATATGGGCGTGAAACCTGCGGTTGTATCTTTTAATGCTCCACTGTGCATAAGTGTCCATGTGTGCTGGCATTTATGTGAGATTTACCACTCTGCAACAAGGCCAAGGGCTGTGGGTCTCATTTAAAAATAGAGGTTAATTATATTCCACTAATTCTAATATAATAGTGATTAAACTATGTCTCGGATTGAATTGGGATTTAAAAAGGAGCACGGTTTAATCAACATTTGATTGTAAATCATTAAAGCTTGTAATAATTGCCACTGAAATGTAATAGACTCATGCGGCACGGGCACAAATGCAATCCGTGTGTGTGTGTGTGTGAAAGTGGAATGCAGCCCTAGGCTGACAATGACACACGGTCTGCTCTCTTGTGGCAACTACGGTGAGAACACATACTGAATTAAACATTGCGCGATTTAACTGATTGATTGCGGTAATAACAGGACCCTCATTAAAGAAAGAAAAGGGTGAGCGGGATAAAAAACATCTCTGTCATAGCTCAGAGTGTGCGTAAGTGAGAGTGTGTTTCTGTGAAAATGTGTGTGCATGTATATGAGTGTGTGTTCGTTCGTGCGAGCCCCTCGTGTTGTTTACGGCAGTAAATTACAGTCGGAGGCTCTCCAGTACAATAGGGTCTCATGACAGTGTCGTTCATCAGGGTTATCCCCATACCCCAGCGCAGTGTGATGGAGTGAACGCACACCACCGACCCTAATACGCTCTGGCAGCACCGCTGAATATTTCTCTAGTGACGGCTCAAATAAATGAGCTGCCCCAATGTTTTTAATTAGACTGCAAATCTGAACAGACTGCCAGTAGCGATCAGTATGCGGACTTCACCGGGCTGTTCAAAATTCAGGCTTTCGAGGGGAATTCATGAATTGCGAACTGATAGCTTTGTTTATGTGCAGACGATTTATTCAAATCAGGTAAAAGCACAAACAAATTGGACAAAATATCCCCAAAATTTGCATCCACTGTGATGTAAGCACCTATATCGGTATATCACCATATATAGCACTACCTGGGTATATCCATGGTTATAACATTTCACAATCATTTGTAACAAATAACTACTGTAATGATGAAAATGTACTGTATACAAACCATTCTTTTAAACTTCCACAGTTTGTAACCTAGCCAGGTCAATTTTGTGATATTTCCAAATAGATCCCAATATATAATAGAAAGAATGATAATGAATTACTTTAAGCAATGAATATATATGTTTTTTGCACTGAAACAGCATTTAAAAGTGCCATAATATGCAATAATATTAGATTAACCAATCCACTATCCTGTTTTTTTTAAACACTCAAAAATTGCTGGGTTGTTTTAACCCAACTTTGGGTCAAATATAGACAAACCCAAACGTTGGGTTAAACATGTAATTAAAATTTTTGGTCCCACTTTATATTAAGTGGCTTTAAGTACTTACATCAAAAAATAAGAATGTATTATTGTGGTCCTATTGTATTGTAAAACACCTTTGCTGCTATTGAGGTATGATACGGGTAAGGTTAGGGACAGGTGTGTGTGGTATGGGTCGGTTTAAGGGTAGGTTAAGGTGTGAGGGATGGGTCAACTGTGTAATTACAAATGTAATTACATAATTTAATTACAGCTGTAATTACATGCTGGTATTTTTAAAATATAAGTAATGTAAAATCATGTATGTACACAATAAGTCCATTGTATCAAATTATTAATTTAAATGTAAGTACATGGTACTTAAAGCCACTTAATATAAAGTGGGACCAAATTTTGAACTCAAATGGCTGGGTTTTGTCCATATTTGACCCAAAGTTGGGTTAAAACAACCCAGCAATTTTAGAGTGTAGTGTGTGAATAAATAAACAAATGAAACTTTGGCATCAGAATTAGGAAGTTTCAATATATGGGATGTATTAGAGAAGGTGTGAATGTGTATCTAGAGCTCAGTTGAAAGGGTGTAAATGCCGTGATGCAAATCAATATGCCATTAGCTACACCACTGTGAGGGTATAGAAACAGGTCAATATATTCAGGTGTTATTTATGTTAATGTACAAATATAAAATTATGCCTTGGCCAGGACACTTTTTTTTCCTTTTTCTGTTATTCCACTAGGATAGGATTTTACCCATCATATATTTCTTAATATACTGGATTAAATACATTTATATTTAATTATATATATTTTTTTAATTTATATTTTATATTAAATACTGGATTAGATACATTTAAAATTTAACAATGGAAATCAAATTATTTAAGTTGTCTGTTATCACATCGGCATTAAATGGAACTTCACCCTATTTTCTCATGCATCCCAAGTCTCCAGCCTCCCTTTTTTTTCTTCACGATAGTAAATTCCACTTGGATGTACATAAGGTTGGGTAAAAAAACAACAACCAAAAAAAAAAAAAACAACCCCGCAACACTTTAAAAAATATTGTTGGTTTAACTTAAAAAATGAAGTAACCTGGCTGCCTTAAAAAATTAAGTTCAAATTGAGTTAAAACAATCTAAGGTGATTGATTTAATCATCAGCAACTTTAAATATTATGTTATCTGAACTACACAAATTGTTTAAGTTGATTTGACAAAAGAAATAATGTGATTACAAATCATGAAAATATTTTTTACAGTGTTTCCGTAACACACACGACTTTAAGTGAACAAGGGAGTGATATTTTTGTTGCCGTTTACAATCTATTCCATTCGATGAGCAGCTCACTCAGTTGTGTCACTTTTGCTCTTTCTGGCTGCAGTGATAACTCCAGCTGTACCAGACGTCATGAAAAGGTTAGAGTTTATGATAAGAAAGCCAGAAGGGTCACAACGATGAGACAAAAGGAACATAAATTCATGAAGCACATTCCTCTGCCCGCAGGAAAGAGAGTGCGTGTCACACAGCGTCTATGGCAATTTCACCCCGCTACGTAAAAGGTCCCACATGACCTGTTTCTATCAAAGCAGAGTTGGGATGTGGCATACGCAGACGACAAGCGAGAGCGGGAGGGGTTAAGGACAAAAAGAGGAAAGACGCACAGCTTATACAAGGTTCAGATGGCCTTCACAGGCGCGGCTGTGATGTCATGGTCCACTGGCCATACACTGATATTGCCTGTGTCAACAGCATGAATAAAGCAGTTGTAATAAAGATTGTTGAGATTTGCTGTTGTTCGCTATCGAGGGAGGGGTGGCGGATGAGGGGGCTGATCTTGCTCGGCCTCAGTTTCTCCCTAAGGCTTGAAAGCTTGACTGAACATAAAGGCAAGGCTGTCAAAACTCGAGAGAGAGAGAGTTTGAGGGAGG